TCTCTGGAAGTTGTCTTGGGACTCTGTTTGACAGGTATCCCTGATTCAGCTTCCAGTACCCGAACCTCTACACTGTCATCCATCGCAATTTCGTGTCTCCCATCCCACTTACCCTTCAATGTTGGCCTCTTCCTGAGCGCTCCCATGAAGTCTACTTCAGGCCTCACTCACTCCTTCCCTTTCTTCTCTCTGTTCAGCAGCTTTCAGCCCCCAGGACTCTTTCTTGTTGAAATTCCCCTGGAAAAATCCGCGGTGCCCAAAAACAAAGTAGGCACAGTGCACACACAGACTTCCTGCAGGGACGTCACTGGACCTCGATCAGACATCTGCTTTGGCGCTTTGTGTGAAGTCATCAATCGGCATCGACCCCTGGCAGGAAAAGCGCCTTGAGTCTAGTTAGCTCTGAGGCCCAGGAAAGGGCGAGGGAAGCAGCCGCTTCTGTGTGGGGTGGATTCTGTTTATGGTGGTCTCCTCAGTTGGTGTCTCCTCCTGGCTGCTACAGTCGGGTTACCAGTCAGGATCCATGAATATAGGAGGGAGGCTGTCAAGAAGAGGAAGCCAGGGAGACTGGGGACTAGGGAGGCCGAAATGGGCCTGAAATAGCGGAGGTAATGGTTGCAGCGAGGGTTTAGGAGCCCTTTGGAGGTTTTTTTGTTTGTTTTTTGTTTTTGTTTTTAAGAGACAGGGTTTCTCTGTTGTTTTGGAGGCTGTCGGCCCAGCCTGGCCTCGAACTCACAGAGATCCGCCTGCCTCTGCCTCCCGAGTGCTGGGATTAAAGGAGTGTGCCACCACCGCCTGGCCCTTTGGAAGTTTTTTTTTTTTTCGTAACAGGGTTTCCACTGTTTAAAGGCCCTGCCCGACCTGGATCTCTCTCTGTAGACTCAGTGGCCTCAAACTCAGAGATCTGCCTGCCTCGGCCTCAAGCGTGCTGGGATTGAAGGCTTTTGCCACAACCCCCGTTACTTATTTGTAACATTTTAAGCAAGGGCCTCACATGGCACTAGCTGTCCTAGAATTTATCCACAATATTACTAGTCACGTTGTGTAACGATGACAGGGATTCACTTCTGTTTCAGCTACTAAGTACTTTTATGACCTTGTTTCAGGCTCTCTCTTCTATGAGTAAAAAGCAAGTTTAGCTTTTGCTGACTGTGGCCTCAGAACACTTGCTTTTTAATTTTATTTTCCCCTCTGAAGACAAAGTCACCCTGAGTACCCCAGACACTTACTGTGTAGCCTAAGCTGAGCTCGAAAAATGTAATGTTCTTGTCTTAGACTCTGGTGCATTAGAGTTTACAGGCCTCTATTACTCGAGACTGGGAGCACTGGTTTCTGTCAGTATGATAAAAAAAGTGGTTTTTATAGCTGTAGATCTGGGATCCAAAGGCCCTGCCCAGACTGCTCTGGTTGTCTTGTTTCTGTGCAGACACTTCCCTTAATTTCTGATGATGATTGTTGGATCCAACTTGGACGGTAGGTGAGAAAAAGCAGTGTTTTTTTTTTTTTTTTTTAGTAGTGAGCACTATGCAACCTTTTAAAGGGAAATAAATTCTCAAAGAAATTGGGCAAACACCACTGCATCCATGTTTAAGAAACACAGGCTTTGTAGATCTTTGGGTGACAATTGTGTGCTTTGTTTATCTTAAGCAGTACAGGACATGGTAATGCACATGTGATTTAGAGTGTGAAGTCAGGTTGATAACACCAGGATGGTTACTAAATGTGTTTCATTTGCAAAGGCCTGCAACAATTTTAGCATCTATCAGAGTGTGTATGAGAAAGTGTCCTTGGGGAATTACAACAGGTGAACTCAATAACACACATGATCTCTTGTTTGAGACAGAATCTGCCTATATATGCCTGGCTGTCCAGGAACTGGCTATGTACATCAATTGGCAATAATTGGCTCTAGTCAATTTTGTAGATTTCTCTAAAATTCACTAGAGCAATACAGAGAAACCCTCTCTTGAAAAGCAACAACAAAATGAAACTTTGAAATTTATATATTGTAAAATGATGAAATCAGGCTAATTAAGCCAATGAACTCATATAATAGCTTTTGTAGTGAGATATTTAAACTTTAAGTGATTTTTTTCAAGTATATATTACAAGAGACACTGTGCCACACATTAGATTATGATGCATAAACATTTGGTTTTCTTTAAAATGTTAATTAATGTTGAGTGCTTAGAATCAACCAAGGACATAACTCATGGTCTGTACCAATGACCTATTTCTCCCTCACAATTATGTACTTAGATAAGCGTAAGATAATAGTGGAGTAGGGGTGCATCCCAGTGAATAAACACTTGTACATCGAGGCCCTGAGTTTTGTTCACAGACCTGTAGGGAGTAGGGCTTGGGGGTAGACAATAGAAAATATGGGAGTGATTTTAAGGGTTGTATATTCAAAAGCTGCATTGCTTCTGTGGTTATAGTGACATAGGCAAAAGCAAGCCTCTTTCAGGCAATTAGCATTCTCTCTTTTTAAAAGAATTGTTTTTTATTTTATAAATGGTTTTTCTTTCTGGTTTTCTGAGACAGGGTTTCTCTAACTGCCCTAGCTGTCCTGGAATTTACTTTGTAGACAAGGCAGCTCTCAGTCTCACAGAGATCATCCTGCCAGTCTCCCCAGTCCTGGGATTACATGTGTGTGCTAACATGCCTGGCTCTATTTTATACTGTTTTTAGTGCTTGTAAGTATGTGTGTATGGCTGGTTCCTGAAGAGGCCTGAAGAGTAAGCCAGAATCTTTGGAACTGGACTTACACAGATGGTTGTAAGCCTTTATGTGTTCAATGTGTTTTGAGCTGTGATCCCCAATAAGTATAGCAGGTGCTCTTAGCTGCTGAGGCATCTCTCTAGGCCAGTTATTGGGAATCTCTTATTTTTCAAATAACTAGCATAGCTCTGGGTATCTGTCAGTATATCCTGCCTGTGATTCTCAGAGTGCAGTAGTGTGGCAGGTTCCCTAGAGAGACAATGCTTACTAAAACATTTGCCTTGTAGGATGGAGGTAACCCACCTTATCATCTTCAGAAAACAGTGCATGAAAACAGATACCTATTAGAATGTTTGTAATTATTATTTATGATATCAAAGTACTCAGAACAGTATTTGATATGAATGGATTGAGGAAATGAAGTATGTGCTGATTTATTTGGTAAGTCAAATTTGTCTCATGGATGATAGAGTACATACCTATAATCCCAGCACTCAGATAGTTGGGCCAAGAGGATACAGAGTTTGAGGCTCTCATAGCATACACAGTGACTCCCTGTCTGGAAAAGTAAATTAAAGGCTTCAGAATTAGTGATTCCTAGGCATCTCTTAGGAGAATTGCCACACAGATGAGTATCCAGAATGTAGGATTTTAGAAAATGATTTCAAAAAGTGTGTGTGTGTGTGTGTGTGTGTGTGTGTGTGTCTGCTTCTGTGTCTGTGTCTGTGTCTGTGTCTGTGTGTGCCAGTAGCTACAGGGTCAGAAGAGCATTCCATTGGATCCTGAGTTACATGTGGTTTTGAGCCACCCAGTGTTGGTGCTGGAATCTGGAAAAGCAGCAAGTGCAACTAACCCCTGAGCCATTTCCCCAGCTCCGAGAATCTGTATGTTTAAAGAATGTTCTCAGGACAGGTATTCTTATATAACAGACATAGTAGAGTCCCCTGACAGGTTAGATAGTCACAATGTTTAGGAAATTTTATAGAAAACTGGTAAATAACACCAAATATACACAGAAAATAATAACCAAGTATATTGAAAAATTTTATAAATGTGTCAAGAAATATTTCACTTAATTAAAAAATCCATTTTATGAAACCTGAATTTTTTCCTCTTTATAACAATGAGCGGTAAACTTTGCATCATTAATCTGCATGCATTGTTCCATGAATGCATGAATCTGTGAAAATTTGAGGTTCTGTGACATGGTAGTGACTCCTTCCACATCCAGCAGCTTACTATAGATAACTGGAAATAGAAACAACTTGAGAGGCTGCTACTTCTCAAGGTGGTACTGTGACAAATAGGTTCTGTGTTATGTTACTAGATTCAGTGTAGTGCAGGTCCTGCTACATGTTTGGATGTGATAAAGAGAGGACTGATTGCTCTTGGGTTTTTCTGTATGTGTGCCCTCATAGTCATCCCGAAGCTTTCATCTTAACCTGCATAGACAGGTGTTGTTCTCATCTGGGCATCCTGGGTGCAGGATTTGTGGAGTACTCCCCTGAAGCAGAAGGAGCATCTGGCCAGAAGTGTCAATTCGTTTCCATCACTGAAAAAGATTCAAGGAAGAAGGCAAGGCCTGGTAAGTGAGCTGCTCTCCTCCTGGCAGTGCACCTCTGCACTTAGGTCCCTTCAGCAGTGAGGAAAACATTCCTATGATCTCCTCTTGATCCCCAGATTTTTACAACAAAAGAAAAGTATCTGAGTTGAGCTCTAGTTCTATACACATGAGCTTAAGTTTCCTTGAATAATAGGTGTGTAGAAAACCACACCTTGACTCACACATAGCCTCTTCATCAAAATATACTTCGAAGCTGTGATGTCCATGTGTTCAGAAAGAACCTGATTCCACTAGTATTCGTATAGCATTCTTTTATTCCCATCACCCTTGAGGCAGAATCACAAGCAGAGGTCTAGGCAGAGGCAGAGGCTGAGGCAGGCATATTAATGTGAGTTATAGGCTAACATGATGCAACACACTTAGTTACAAAGTATCAGTCATAAAATAAAGTTAATAAATAAATGGCTTCTTCTTTCTCTGTTTGACCCTGTAAAATATCAGTGACAAATGTATAGGAGGTCAAAGTGTCAGAAACTGAAAATGTTCAGATCCAAGTGTATCACAGAGTTGAAGGTTAAGGACAGGAAAGAACGGAGCAAAACAACAACCACTCCAGAAATCCTGGCAGTAGTTAAAAATGTTCTCTCAGGGAAGTAAAGAGTTTATTACCAGCAAAGATGGTGTTACCACAGGGTACGTCATAGAGAACTGCATGAAATCTTTGCTATTAATACCTCAGATAGGGAATTAAGATCTGGATTATTTACAGTTACATAGAATATGAAATCATGAGAAAGAGATCAAGACACTTACTAAAGGAGCAATAAAGAGGTCATCATCACAAATTTAATAAAAATGGACAGTGAGTTCTGGGGATATCCAGAAAATACATAGTGAACCGAAAGTAGCTGTAAACCATGGCCAAATAGAAATGAAATGGGAAACACCACTGAGTGTTAAGATAACTCTTCCCGTGTGCCTGCTCCCAGAGCTGTGTAAGTCCCAAATGAATACACAGGATGCTATATTAATTAAGAAGCAGTTGGCCGTTTGCTATGGTATCTTGTTATCTAGCTCTGACTTAATTATTGACCCATAAATACTAACCTCAGTATTTCCACATGGTTACTCCAGATCATTTCCCACAGTCATTCTCAGAGGCGAACTTCAGGGTGTCATGTACTGATTTGAGATTGCCTCTTTCTTAGGGATCTGGCTTGTGTTATATTGCATTTTAATTGAATTGCTGTTGTCATTATTGTCTCTTAGTTGTATCTCAGCTGTGTTCAAAGTGACATGACAAGGTAAGCATTTCTCTGACCAATTGTTTATTATTTTTCCAGTTTTGGTTTCCTGTTAATCGCAGGGTCTAATAAGATAATGGTGGATAGATTCATTGATGCAAGTGTATATCATGAGTGATTTCTGATGTCTACTTCCCAGAAATTGATTGGTCTGTGTTTGTGATAGCATCAGGAGAGAATCTAGATTGAATGTGTTGTGAGGTTCAAATGAGGTGATTGTGTGTAGTTAGTCTGAGTCAAAGGAACAAAGAAGACTTACAAGTAACTACAGTCCAGAGAGTAGAAATAGATCTAGTTATGGAGCATGATCTTGCATATTTTCTAGATATTAAAATTATACACTTAATGAAAAATGATGTTGATTATTAGCCACAGATATCTGTGCCCATAAGATTGAGATGTAATCACGAGATGACATACACACATCCCATGTGACAATACACTACAATGCATGCACTGGGGAGACATCACACTGCTTCAGCAAATGGGAGGAACTGTTTTCAGAGTTGGTGTTCATGAAGGGCTTGAATGGACAAGGGTAAGCTCCATCAGTGTATCACTCCTCAGGTGGTTTGTAACTGAACACTAGTTAGTAGATTCTGTAACTCTTCTGGCCTCCAAAAGTCACCTGCTTCTACAGTGTTGCTGTGAGCCATATCATATATGTGAATGAACTCAAGTGGAAGGGTTGACTATGGCCATGTTGTTTCTTTGGGTCAGTGTGAAGGGACTTTTTTGAGTTTAGCAGACTCCTGAGAGGTGTTATGATGCACCATATTCCTAGAAGAGTTTTGAAAAGTAGAAGTTAAAGAAACTTGTCCTTTGATCTAAAATACAAAGACTTTCTTAGTTCATGAGGTAGTGCTTCCTAGAAATAAACATGCTTGTTGAATCCTGTTCTTGTAAGGGATCAATCAGCAGCTGCAAGTGATGGGAGGTTTTCAACCTGTAGTGGAATGGACTTGCTCACATTTCCTAGAAAATCTGACTAATGTGGGACTTTACTGGAAGCCTGTCTCCTGTTAGAATTGGCAGTGGTAGGTCTTTACAGACTCTTGTTACCCTCTATAGGGAATGTTCTTTTCAGAGGTGGCATCATCGTATCATCTCAGTGCCTGAAATGTTTGGGACAGTATCTCCAAAAAACTGAAAATAAATTAAAGGATCTGAAAGATTGTATCCTGAATGCGTGGAAAATGGCACTGTCAGAAGCTATATGCCTGCTCAATTCCAAGTGCCAGAGGTGGGTGTAAGTGTCAGGAGATGTTGGCCAAGAAGATCTTCAAGACTTCCCTAAATCTGAAGGCTATTTGATCCTTGTGTTAGTTATTACCAACTATGAGGTGATTGTTCTTCTGACTGAGTTTCAGGATATCAGGAATTCAGAATTCCTCTGAGCTGCAATTGGAATGTCAGTCTTTCTTAGCAGTCTGGCTTCATAAACCCAACATCTTGTCCCATTAATTTGGGAGAGAATGCTCAGAAACTGTTCTTTTAGGATTGGGCTGTCTCTCCTCCATTATTAAAAGTCAAATGATATGTATATAATGTTCCAATGAAGGCACAGTTGTTAACTATATGAGCAACAACTTGCCAGTTTGATTTGGCAACCAAGGAACACAAGGGTATTCTTATTTTATAAAATGATTCACTACATTGACCATGACTCAGGTTTCCTGTGGGAAGACAATTGTTGTTTTGTGGTTGAATGGAAGGGATGGTTCTCCACAATTGGCTTCTAAACCTTTGTCCTTATGCAGATATAATGTCCCAGTCAGCCTCCTTGCCTAAAATCTCTTGCATTGGGTTTAGTTGCTGATGAGGGAGTGGCAATTGCTTCAGCTGCTGTTGTGAGGAGTTATCTCCCTGATCCTCAGAAGTGGATCCTGCACAAAGCAGTCCACCCAGGATTCAGGGGTTGCCTTGCAAGCATGAGGGCAATAGAATGTGAGACCTAGAGTAGTTGGGTATAATAGCGTAGTAGTGCTTTTTACACTCCACTACAAAGGGATGCAGACCTTAAGAATAACTGAACAGGGTACCACCCACTTTCTCTTCTAAGAGGTTCAGTGTGGCTGGATTTATGTTGAGGTCTTTGATCCATTTGGACTTAAGTTTTGTGCATGGCGATAGACATGGATCGATCTGCATTCTTCTACACCAGGCTCCAATTATGCCAGCACCATTTGTTGAAGATGCTTTCTTTATTCCATTGTATATTTTTAGCTTCTTTGTCAAAGATCAGATGTTCGTACGTGTGTGGGTTAATACCCGGATTTTCAATTCAATTCCATTGGTCTACCTGTCTATTTTTGTGCCTATACCAAGCTGTTTTCAGGACTATAGCTCTATAATAGAGCTTGAGGTCAGGGATGGTGATGCCTCCGGACGTTGCCTTGTTGAACAGGGTTGTTTTGGCTATCCTGGGTCTTTTGTTTTTCCATACAAAATTGATTATTGTTCTTTCAAGGTCTGTGAAGAACTGTGCTGGGATTTTAATGGGGATTGCATTGAATCTGTAGATTGCTTTTGGCAGGATTGCCATTTTTACTACATTGATCCTACCTATCCAAGAGCATGGGAGATCTTTCCATTTTCTGAGGGCTTCTTTAATTTCTTTCTTTAAAGATTCAAAGTTCTTACGATACAGGTCTTTCACTTGTTTGGTTAGCGTTACCCCAAGGTATTTTATGCTGTTCGTGGCAATTGTAAAGGGTGATGTTTCTCTGATTTCTCTTTCAGCCCTTTTATCATCTGTATATAGTAGGACTACTGATTTTCTTGAGTTGATCTTGTAGCCTGCCACTTTGCTGAAGGTGTTAATCAGCTGTAAGAGTTCCCTGGTAGAGTTCTTTGGGTCATTGATGTAAACTATCGTATCGTCTGCAAACAGTGAAAGTTTGACCTCTTCCTTCCCAATTTGTATCCCCTTGATCCCCCTTTGTTGTCGTATGACTTGTGAAGCAACCTTGTTTCTTATCTAAATTTAAACTGGAAAATAAAATTTAAAAAAAAGGAAAAAAAGATACAAAAACTAAAAGCAAACAATGACAAAAACAACAACTATTCATTTAGGAAATGATTATGAGGAATGGGCTACCTGGTCTGGTTTGTGCTGGTTCAGCTAAATTCTGTGGGAGTATGCCTGTGTTAAGCCCTGAGTTTTCTAGATAAGAAGCCCTACTCTGGCATGAGACCCTTAGGGGACTGCCAAGCAGGGTGGCATGAATGACTGGGTCTTGTGCCCATCACCCACGTTCCTTCGCATGGTGTCTGGGTCCCAAAGGAGCTGGTGGTCCCCTGTGGCACTAGAGCTCTCAAAACCTCTGCTTATTTTACAAATGTTAGCAAGCCACAGGCCAAGAAAAGCAGATGGCAGACAAATATGTACATGTCATTGTTTTCAGTTACCAAAGGGAGCCTGGGATAAATATCTTGGATGGAATTCCAGAATTGTCATTACTTTCCCAACATGAGTCAAGATGTCATTTCCAGAGTGATCTAGAGTAGGGTCACCACCCCTCTGAGCTTCAGTCTGCTGGTTGGAAAACTGGCAATAAGTACCTGCATCATGGGTTATTATGAGGCTGAATGGGATGGTGTGGGGGGGTGTGGGTGTAAGTGTGGGTAGAATCTAAACTTTAGAAGGGAGACCAAGAGAGAGCAGCATTGGGTGATGAGGAAGGACAGAATTCAGATAACAAGACACATAGCTATGAAAGAAGATAAAGAAGGCATAAAGTTTTTATAGTTTTGATTCCATTAAAGTTTTTCTGTTTTCATTATAGATAGATTAATTCAACTTTGCAGATACTAAAGTAGCAACAACAATTTTGGTATCCAAAGGGCCTAACATATGGTATTCCTTTGAGGCAGTAGTTGTGAAAGCTGGACTTTCATTTTAATTCCATTGACCATTAGTACAACAGTAATCAGACATAAATGGTCATTGAATGCATTTATCATACTGACTCACTCAAAAAAACTTTTTTTTTATTAATATTTTTTTTATTTTCCATTTTAAATTTAGATAAGAAACAAGGTTGCTTCACAAGTCAGTACGAGGTCCCTCACCCTTTCCCTCCCCTCCTCCCGTGCCCTCCCCCCATCCCTCCCCCGTTATCCCTTCATTCCCCCAGGGAGGGTGAGGCCCTCCATGGGGGTGTCCATAGTCTGTCATTTCATATAGGGCAGGGCCTAGACCCTTCCCCAAGTGTTCCGGGTGAGAGTGCACCTCACATTGTTCTATGGGAGTCCAGAGACCGTGTGTATACTTGGGATGGGTACTGATCTGCTGTCCAAGGCTCAATAGATTACCTAGGCCTCCTCACTGACACTTTTTAAAAGATTTGTTCTGAGAGATTTTGTAGCCTAATGTTTTCCCTTGTTTTCTGTTTAAAACTCTATCAAATCATTCCATCATAGGGTTATTTAACATACTAACTGTACTGCTATACAAAAAATAAAGTATGCTTTCAATATATACATAAAAAAAAGAATAACTGAACAGACTGATGTAGTCATAGTAAGATCTTTGTCAGGAGAACCTAAGAGTCCTTTGTAGAAGGATCAGGAAAAATCATGATAACTTAGCATATCATCTTAGGCATTATTTTTCTGTGATGCCCCAGGTCCTGGATACATGAACTTTCTAGATCCTATAGAATATAAGAAGTGTAGAGACTTCCCAGGATTGTTTCATGGGACCCACTAATAAGATGTTGGGTATAATGTGAAATGTTCTACCCTGTGTATATTTATGTATGGAGTTTCTTTAAATATCACAATCCCCATATATGACCAATCCCATCCATATTGTGCCAACTGAAATGAATGTGTTTTTACTTTGCACATAAGAGAAGGTAGCCACATTTTCAGGAATATCTGTGTTAGGGCCTGAGCATCGTGTCCGATTACAGAGCAATGGATAAGGAACATGTTATTTGTACACACAGTGGTACTCCTATCAGCTAAGAGGATAAATGCAGTCATGTTGATTGCAAGATAATTCACATATCTTCAAATAATAGTACTGTATCAGATATATCCAGTCCCAGCCAAATATTGCCTTCTGCTATCTCTTTCTTCTGATCCTAGTTTACAAATATCTGCACGTAGACATTAATGAAAATCGAGACCATGATGTGAAGCAGAGGATCAATGCCTAAGATTTGTGGACACAGGTAAGGAATAGCTAGGTTGTGTTAACAGAGTTAGTGTTCTTTGTGTACAAGATACAGTTTTTAAAATGCCTATGCAGTGAATAGTACAATGAGAATTAAGACAAGGAGAAGAATTCAATACAAGTGTAGCATTTGGTAATTGCTTCAATATGAAAAATAAATTCCCGAGGTTTGTTTAATAAGCAATATTATACAAGTCACATTGCTTGCAAACATACAGAGTAAAATAATATTATTCAAATTAGAAAATTTCCATCCAAATGCCTGTGTATCCCTCCTAAGTTGTTAAGTGAATCACAGTGGTCCACAGCAGTATGCAAACCTCTAGGTGCAGCACACACAGAGAGATAAAACCAGAGAACTCCCTAAGCTAATGCTTTTCATCATTCTCTTGTACCCTAATTTGTTCATGTGGGGATCATTGGATACATGTGGTGGGATGATCTTATGTTGGTCTTGTGAACAGTTTCAATGGGTGACTCTGATGAGCAGATGGCCCTTGTTAAACTAGAGAGTATTGGGCCTACACTATAGTTGTGGGTTAGATATTGTGAAAAGAGATACGCCATGAAAATCTAATGACAGGTTGAAGGTATCACCTCAGTAAATTTCTTACGCTATATTTCTTATAAGTAGAAATGGAATGGTAACATTACCACATAAGCACAAATTTCCTTGGATAGCAAATGCACACCTCCTATGAGGTCAGGGCTTGATGTCCTGTAACTGAAGCAAACCATATTTTCAGAATAATGAATCTGAGTTGTAGCAAAAGAAACTTGATTCCACCAGCTTGTTTGGAGCATTACTTTTACCTTGGTAATCTTGAGGCAACTGAGCAGGCAGAGGCTTAGATAGTACAAGCATTCAGAGCTATGGGGAGAGAGCCTGCATTACGAAACTAAGAGTAAGCCAATAAATACATGTATTCCATTTCCTACCTGTCAGCTTGTAAAAAGTCAATGGCATATACCCCAGAACCTAAAGTGTTACAAACTGTGAAACTCTTGGATCACAGAGTATTCCAAAAGTTTTCTTCTCACCCTTTTTCTGCCTTGGGTGAGGGATCTAAATGGACTCCTGAATGTGCAGTCTGAGAAGAGTTTGATGCTTTTCAAAGGTGTCATGTCTGAGCTCAGGTGGATTCCTCTTCCTCTTGGTCTTGGCGATAGTGGGCTTTTCTTCTGACTTGACTCTGTCCCTAGACTTCTTCATTCCTCTGTTTCCTTGAAGTTGTTTCCTCTATTCACCTTTGTCTTATATTGTCCTTGAGCCCAAGTTGCTTTAATGGGCCTGCAGCATGGGAGTTTCTCCACTCTAACATCTAAGTCTTTGACCACATTGTCAATATGTTCTCACTGGCTCCATCACTGCCCACACCACAGCCTCTTCTCCCTCCTCTAGGTGCAGGGGCTGAATTCTGGAATGAGGAGCTCCATCACGGAGACCAGAGCCTTTCCAGTCCTACTTCACCTCAGTGAAGGAGATGGCACTGTATCTTTACTGTGTCAGATCCCTTCTGATGTCTGTGGAGGATTTAGACTGGGATTATGTTGTATCTCAGAATTGGTTTAATTCAGTGAGGTAGTTGAAGAATTGAGGAAGGTGAATATCTCTCAACAGTCTAGCCATGACTATGACTTTGATGCCAGAGCCCATGACATTCTGTAGCACTGTCAACACATCCTCAGTGAGGCTGCTACATTCCAAGGTGGCACTATGACAAAAACTTCTGCCTTCTCACAGCTTCAGTGTAGTGCAGGGCGTGCTGCATGTTAGGATGTACTAAAGGAAGGAGTGGTTGCTATTGGATTTTTGCTTGCAACCTCACTGGCATTCAGAGGCTAAGATAGATTGATTGTCATCTGAACCAAGTTGATATTCTCTGTTTGTTACAGGCTTGGAGCTGGAGGCAAGGCCATGAACCCTAAAGGACTGGAGATTGGATCAGTTCATGATCTGTCCCCATGGACAGGTGCTGTCCTTATCTGGTCATCGTGGGGGCAGGTATTACCGAGTTCTCCCCTGCAGCATAAGGAATACCTGGGATCCTGAAGTGTCAATCCCAATGATGTCTCTTCTCCATTTGCAGCACTGAAAAAGAGTCAAGGAAGAAGACAGCGCCTGGTAAGTGAGTTGCTCCCCACCTTTCTGTGCTCCTCTGCACTTAGGTCCCTATAGCAGGGGCAGGGCTTCCTATGATCTCTGCTTGAGCAACAGACTTCCACAACAAAAGAATCTGAGTTGGGCTCCAGTTCTAAACACATACAGTTAAGTCTCATGGGATACTAGGTATGTACCAAACTACACCTTGACCCTCACATGGCCTCTTCATCACATTTTGCTTGGAATCTTGGATATCCACATTTTTTGGAAGAAACTGAGTGCACCAGGATCAGTGCAGTATTCATTTAGTCCCAACACTTTTGTGGCAGAATCAGTCAGGGTCCTAGGCAGAGGAAGAGCAGAGACAGAGGCAGGTATATTAATTTGAGTTCAAGGCTAGCCTGATGTAGCATAGTAAGTTACAATACATCAGTCAAGAAAATAAAATCAAGTTTTCAATAAATGGATTATTTTTCCCCTATTTCACCCTGTAAAATGTCAACGTGTAGCAAACTCTGAAACTGTTATATCCTATCATAGAAGATTTGAAGTTTTAGGGATAGGCCTGAATTGAGGGAAACTTCAACCACTCCAGAAATCTAGGCAGGAAGAACCAAATGGTTTCTCTGGGAAGGAAAGAGTTCATTGTCAGAAAAGAAGGAGTAATATGAGTGTATGTGTTAGAGAAATGGGAAACACTGCTGATGGAGTTCTCAGAAGGAAATGCTATCCTTATATTCTGCTGGTGGGTTTGGCAAGGTTTCTAGCTTGATTAGATACCAGTATGGATGGTCCTCCAAAATCCCAAACCTGCCCTACCATATGGTTCATGTACATCTCATCAAAGAACTCAATATATTTATTAAATAGGTACTTGCCCATCAGTGTTGATTGCAGCACTGTGTGCAGAATATTAGTGAATCAAGCATGGTGTCCCACAGCATTGTCAAGAGTGAAGTAGACATGATAATACAGAGAATGCAAAATCCTTGCATCCATAGTGAAAAAGAAGTTGTGTTGTTTGTATTGTGCAGATCCAGTTGGGGCTAGATGAGATGGCTCAGCAGATAAGGATATTTGATGTTCTTGCAGTCCCCAGTCTGATGTCAGAGGACCTTTTGGTGGCTTTCAATATCAGTGCAATCTAGACTCCAGAGAATCGGTGTCCTCTTCAGTCCTCCTTGAACACTACACATGTGTCTTGTGCAGAAATCCAAGGGGAAGGCAAACACACACACACAGACACACACGGACACACACACACACACACACACAAATAAATTCAATTAAGATATTAAATGAATGCCTTCAAAAGTGGATACAACTTGAGGTAAACATAGTAATTACCTAAACCATTCCCAGTAAGAGAATCAAGCTGGAATAATGAAATTGCAGGAAGAATTCTGTCCTAGACTACTAATTATCAAAGGGCTGGAGTGAAAGGTTCAAATTGGGAGGAAGTGTTGAAAAAGTAGGAGTGTGGTCACTATAGAGCATAAACTCTGGGGGATATACCATTACTAGTAACTAAGATAATGAAAATAAATCAAGGAAAATAGTTTTATCACCACCAATGCTTTGGCTATTGGTTTGAAATTAAGAATTCAGGTGCAGTGATTTAACACACAGGATGTATTTGTGTAATATCTATTCTTATTTGGCAATATAGATTAATGGTAGCCAAGTTATGAAGAAAACCTCAAAACTGTCTCTCTATATATGTTTGTAGATGAAATATTTGGGTTACACTTCTACAGTCAACTTTAGTATCTTCAAGTATTTACAAGTATAGAAACCCAGACATACACACATTAACCTACTTACCTACATATGTCCTTACATATGTATATATTCACCAGGGTTTTTAAACATCAGACATATTCTTGTGTCTATATGTGTATCCCAGCTTGTGTATGATGAC